TAAATTTAATTGTTAATTACTATGGCAATATGTGAATATGCCACTTTTATCGTAATGACAAAATGCTTGTCGACTTATTTGACCAAGGGGCGATGAGGTTATAGCATACACATTTATATCATTTGGCAATACTTTGTCAAACATGGATCCTAAATAAGTAAATAAATAGACAATTTAACTTTATGTTTATAATTTCACCATGTTAATTAAACTACCTGACTCGCATGCCTCCAAATAAAACACTAGTTTTGCAAACCTATTGTTTTTATGCATATCTATTAAAGCGTTATTTAAATCCGTGTTGATTAATTTATCATCAAGGAACTCCGTGTATCCTAACATTTATAAAAATAATTACAGTGTTACAAACAAATATACATAATATTTTATTAGTTGTTGGTAGAAAAGTTTAATATTTACCCGGGTCACCATGGGCCAACACATACACAAATATATGATCATCTGGACCACTGTTGACCACTTTTTTACCCTGATTAACTAACTCTTTGTCACCCTTAAGTACACCCAAAAAATTCTGTAAAAATATAATAAATAAATAATAAATTTAGCAACTTGTAATAATTATATTTATTTGTAAAAAATATAACTTACTTTAGGATTCACATCATTCCCGGTATAGTGTTTGGGAACACCATGGTAGACATCAGTACCATTTAACTGATTGGTTACAATACCCGGGGTCGGATTTTGGGTGTTATTTGCAATATCGTCGTAATGCATGACTATTATGCGGTCATCGGGTATACCATTGCGACGCATCACTTGGTACGCGTGGTATACACTCGCCTACAGGGTATCAAAAATAATAACTACCCGGTACCTATAGCCTCAAATAATACATTGTAACTCTGCTTTAGTATTACTGATTGAATTGTATTGTGTGTAATTACACTCAATAATACTAAATCAGAGTTAAAATGTATTAAATGAATCAAAGGCCATGTCAAGGTTAGACCAATTGTCAATATAATTTGGTGAAATTAACAAAATAAA